TGCATTTATGTAAAAAATATATATATATCATATACATAATAGTATATAACTCACTCAAGACCAATTTCCGGGACGTACTGTCCGACCCTTTGAACCTGTTTGCTTATCCTTCTAGATAGCTAAAGGGGTATTTTTGTGCATGCTAAGGCTCCGTGAAATTTGGTCACGTCGCATAGTTTTTTTACGCTGGAACAATTTCATGTTGATCACTCGTCCGTTCGTGAATGACGGCATACATATGGAACAAATACTAGATTATAGCTACTCAAAATATGATATGTTAGTTTGTGTAACTGTGAAAAGTATGAAAAGTGTCTGTTTAAATGTATAGAAACAGCACAGGTCTTTTATTATTTCTAATATGTTCCTGAAGTATTAGTTTAATATTATGCTTTAATACCGCTGACTATTTTAGATAATAAAATAGCATGGGCCAAAATCTTCGCTGAATTTTTTCTAGTAAGTGCTCACTGTACGATGCCTCATTGTTCCTTGCAAACGGATGATATGCTTTGGTACGTGCAAATATCTTCCTTCTATTCGAGCACCCTCCTCTCAGCACAGGTGTGTTAATAATATTCTCTTATTCAGAGCCGCTAATGCAGCTTCATGGTATTAAATTGTAGATGAAAGTTCTGGAGGTATACAGGCGACAGAGCAAAAGTCAACCATCTCCCGGATCACGTGCTATCAACTGGGAGGAAACACTGTACCTTAATGTTTTGCTTCATAACGTATAATGTTTTACTGCAGATTTGCAAAAATGGTACGTTTTAATAATATGCTGAGCCTTATAGATTGTATATACACTGACGTGTGCCGTGTGTACGAAGACCTCGCCGCAGAACCTGCAAATCTTGAGAAAGAATTCACGGGTTAGTTTCTTTTTTTCACACTATCAGCACATTTTAAGTCTTTTTCTTTTCTTTCATTTTAGAACGTCTTTGCATCGCCAAGCCGTCGAAGGATGGACGTCAAAGGCGATGCTGAGGAAATTTCTTATCCGAACATATATTTTATCATCGATAATTTCGAAGACGTACGTTCGAAGTTCAAATTTTACAGTTTGAGGAAGTGAAGACCCGTAGATCGATGGAAGGCTTAAAGTTTTTTGTACTGGATATACTGCAAGTATTATTAAGTTTATAGCATCTCCTAACTGGGTTTCACGACATTACGGCTCTGACCTCTTGCTTGTATGCCGAGAGACTATTATGGCGCATGACTCCATAATATTTGAGCACCTATAGTACAGGGATACATTTGGGATTGTTTCTGTTTGCTAAACCAATATGTCGCTGATCATAAGACATACCATGTATGATCCTCGGTACAGGTACTCATTGCATTACAACTTTGGTAAGCAGTATTCTCTATGCGCGAAGAGTCAGACAATAAATCTGGATTACTGGGCTGATGCAGATCTACCAAGAGTGGCAGCTTTCCGATTTCGCCGCTTTCCAATATCAGTCATTACTGCGTATTTACACAGGAAAACTGTAAAGTACAGTTACTGATACTTTACCGCGATAGTGTGGTAGTGTAATACGGGTGGTATCTTTACACCGGATTGCACCACAATGTGGCACTTTGGGGAGAGGGCATTTAAAAGCAGACAATGGCTTCATGGTATTTAAGCACCCACAGTGTATCAAGATCGTGTCACTGAATTGAGCTGAATGATAAAATGTTCGAGCACCAACTCATTTGCCGTTTTTTACTATCCGCTGGCTTATATACATGAAATTTAACAGAATATAACCCCGCTGGTCTGGGGGTAGATATCAAGAATTGAAACTTCTGTATGTTTACCTGCAGAATATGATGGAAATTTTATCGGCGCTCTAACATGCTCTCGTTCTCCCAGCTCAGTGACGGAGTCTTGCGTCTTATTAACCGTGGATGCTTAAATACCGTGAACCCGTGGCCTGCTCATAAATGATCCCTCTACGCGACTAGCAGCAAAATTAGACGCAGTGTCTGATACAATCTGACGTAATGACTGTCATACGTCTTACATTACCACAATGTCGCTGTAAAATAGTACATTACAGTTTCACCATTTAAATCTAGTATCTGTAACTGAAAGACATGCATAATAATCATATAATTATATATGCTTTGGCAGGAACATCAGAAATAATTTTTAAAGCCTATTGATTAATGTGTTGTATGCACAAGTTCTGCTGAGATATAACCATGGCCCTCTAGAGGCTGAGGTTGTTTCTTTAAATGGTTCATGGTTCAAGATCAGTTGTATTACCTTGTTAGCTGGAATAATAACGCGAAAGTGACATGCTGAAAAACCATCCAAAACAGTTTTAATTCACACAACGCAGTACAGAAATCTGTTGGCTGATAGTTGTGATATTTCGACCCTTATGCCGTTGGTTTTCGTTAAGGCTAAATTTTGGATATGTTCTGTTGTTGAACAGCGTATGAGCAAGATACTTGATTTGCGAAACAGGCATCACAGATGTTCATAAATGTAAGTAAATATGGAGATTTGAGTCGTGCCGTTTTTTAGGCATCGTATGACGTTCAGACATGCATCAAGCGAGTTATTTGAATGATATGCGAGTAATATTCTAATAGCGATTAAATTATGCCTCTTTAACTGTTTTTTGCAATTATTTCTATGAAGTTTTGAAATGCTAAACCCTCGCCTTAACCAGTGTGTAGTTAGTTTCAGAATCTGGAACTATAATTGTTCATTTTGGCTAGAAACAGTGTATTCACCACCTTGCAGAGGACATCCCCATTTTTGCACCATTACTACTACTGGCCTAAAACTGTCGTTGATTGATGTGCGTAAAAAAAAATTCTTGGAGCGCGAGAATCTCTCTTTGCTAACTCGAGACCTATTCTGAGTGTGATACAATATCTCTGGGCGGTTGCGCCCAGAGATTTAGTGAGAACATGCCTGGTTCGTTCCCTACTCAGTGTTTGTTGTGTTTGTCGTTGAGTGCATCAGATTTAGTTTGACACGCAGAACGTCTGTGGTTGGTGATATCCACTGTATTCCCAGCTTTCCAGCAGTTTTGTTATAAGGCATCTGTAAGTGAATCGTGGAAAGAAAAAATTCTTCTCCAAAAGCAATTATTTTATTTTAGTTCTCTCTGTTGCATGTTAGCCCCCTTATTAACATCTGCCATATTTTGTTTCCTACACGAGATGCACGAAAGCTGAAGTAAATAGTTTCTGCTCCTTCGGTTTGTCCTACAGGGTCCTTTTTCCTTCCTAATTCCAACTTCCTAACATCTTCCTTTTCTTACTCTCCGCATTGTGGTAACCTGGCCCAAAAGAGAATGCAGTCATTCCTTGCATTGTACTGCTGTAGTGTCAAATTTGTTTCAGATGCAACGCTGATGTACGCAGTTCAACCGTCGTTCTTGCTCATCGTCTTCCTCAAGTTAAGGGAAGATTTTGATGGGAAGGATTATTCTTTTCTTAGCCCAAATATTGAAAAGGTTTTGAAAGGTAGAAGCCGCTAGGACAATCCTCCTATAAAACTTTGACTGGGTGGTGCTATTACTAAAGACGATGATGCCGAGGTGCTTAAGCTTTTCAACCTTCAGTACCGTTTCACTTTCCTGTTCTGCTTGTAGATCGGCTGTGCCGGATCGATTCTTTGTAGCTTTTGGTTTTTGGGTCTTAAGAAAAATGCCGATTTTTCCTGTTGTGTTGCATACGGAGACGTCTAATCACAGTACCCACTCCTCGTACTACTCGCAAAGACAATATTATCTTCTTTCTCGAAATCAACCAAATATCTGGGTAGGTATTTTGAATTGTACTTTCCCTTTAGAATGAGACTTTCGTTTTTGCCAGTGTCAGCAGTGTTTCAGAGACGAAAATAGAGTACACTGTTGAATAGTAATGATGAGATCACTTATCCCTGGGGAAGTCGAACAGGAGAAATGTGGAATTCTTTTTTGCACTGTCTTTTTTCTGTGCTCATCAGTTCATAAGTTTTCGATCGGTTTTCCTACCGTTTTTCAATGGGCTCTTAATCTTTGACAAGCGGATGAATGCCGGAAATTGTTCACTGACTTACAGTAGAGAATTCGTCAGTTTTACCGGTGCGACTTTTCTCTTTGCAAACAAAGTTTTCAAGGCCAACCAGCAGCCTCACGAAACATCGTTACTCAGTCAGTGAGGGCAAAACGAAAAACGAAAGCATTATTCCATGTCACTGTGCAAAAGTTAATTGATTGATAAACCATCACGGATATTGCATGCCCGACTTATCTTACGTAGTCGTCTTAAAGTACATCGATGTTAATGAACTTGCAGACTACTCAACGTACTAGTAGAAATCAAAAAGCAGCGATATTTTCAAGCTCCAGCATCTGATGCACTGCTCGTTTTGAAAAGTTTTTGACCACGAAGTCCAGTGCTGACTGTGAGAGTCAGACCCCGATCCTCTGTTTTATGGTGATTGTGATTTGTATGTTTTATATGGATAAGTTAGTGATTGCATGCGAATGGCTGTCAGAAACCATATAGTACCGGATATTATTAAATGCCTCATCCTCCTTTATCAATCATTATAATGAAATAGTTTCAGTCTGATCCCTGAAATGATGGACTGGTAAAGCGTTACGTCGACAGCAACTGCTGCAGAAAATCCAATAGGTTTCTGTGTTAGGGTATGGTTGGAGTTACCGCTGCCTGTAATGTATGCTTCACGCTACCGCTACAGCTTTCTTTTCCCTTCTGGTTTTTTCTTGTCCTTTCGACGCAGACTGGGGGCTAAGTTTTAAAACTCGAAGATTTAATGTGTTGGATCACTAACTAATGAATGAGTTAAATTTGTAACGTTAACGCTGATTGCTTTAGCTTTTCAACGACATTATCGTTCGGGATGGCGAATGCGTCTGCGTGGAACTGTTGGCCAAAGATGTATCTGAAAGACTTTGTTCTACGGTGTTCCTGGGTTCAGTGCGCTATGAAGTACTGAAGCAGATTTACGATGCGAAGGTAGAGAATACGCGTGCGAACGTTTTCAGTGTACCTTTAGTTTTGATATAAAATAAATTTTCGCTGGCTCAGGTGTGCTCTACGTGGCGCTGGGCTCAGAGCCTGGTGTCTCCAAAGTCGCACAAACGTTTGGAGTTCGTGATCATGCGGGGACCGCATGGAAAGGGATTTGCTGAAATGGCTGTTTCCAAAGTACCAGGCATCGGTTACGACTCGCCGACGTGTAATCAAGCCCCGTACGAGGACTACGATGTAGTGGAGGCGGTGGAACAGTTCCACCGCCGACGAAGCGACAACAACTTGGTCGCAAAGGGCATGGGCGTCAGTTTTTGCAACGGGGTCACGTTGTTCGGTCACTCGGTCCACAAGTCGTTCAGCGAAACAGATACTTGTGATCGCAGGCCGGAAATCAAAGCCAACTCAATCGACGACGGTATGCTAATTTTGTGGCTATCAGTTTTCCTTTCTTTGCACTCATCATTACTATCTTTAGCATCGCCTTTATCATTATAAAAATTGTTGCCATCATAAATGGTGCAGAGTCGCACTGGAAGTGTAGCTTCAACGAATTGTAGCCTCTGATGATGACAGCACTGACTTATTCTATACCAAGTTAGGCAAGTCATCTCTTCCCTATGCTGCTTTGATCTGTCTCTAGACTGTCAGGAGGCAATGACGATACTCCATAAAGAACATCTACATGTTTCGAACGTATTTTGAGTAGAAACCTGTTGATAGCCTCGCCACGCAGCTAAAAACAGAGGACTATCACTGCTGATTATGTCGATGATGGTAGATGGTCCAGTCAGTTGAGAGACGATCGCCTTTCTGACTTAGTCTTATTTAATGTTGAAGAAATGTCACTGCCTCTTCGAGTCAACTCCACATGAGACAGTGCGTGTTAACTCCGTGGGAGGAGACTGCATACTTGGGTGACTTGTAACAGCGCCCACAAATAAATGCGCGTAGCGACAAATGCAAGTGTATAAATACGTTTTTAATTTTTGAAATGAATCATTTCTTTCAGTATTCGCAAATATAATTAATAAGTCTGTATGGATTTCAAAGTTTATATTGTCAGTCTGCATGATCTAGTTAATCACTTCCGGTTACATAGAGTTGCCGTAGTTGTCCTTCAGCTCCTACAGGTTTCACTCCAGAACCTCCTGGAACCAGACGTATTAATTTCGAAACTTAAGTACACTTACGTCAGTGTATTTATTGCTGTATTTTTTTTGACCAGCTGTCATATACAATCAATAACAAGATTTTCTTTCTTTGATAACGTCGGAACTTCGTGCCTATCCCTAGCCGTGATTCGCCAAATGCACACATTATCATCCATAATAACGATCCGTCCAGAATGGTAATGCGTGGTTTTTACCGTATTACTCCCTAAGCCTCAGCCTACATCAGTGGCATGGCATGTAGACAACAATAATGAGGCTTATATGTAGGGATAGACTTAGTATTGGTCCAATCAAGTAGCTGTATTATCAGCTTGGACTGAAGCACCGCAAATCAGTTTGAGTGTACAGACAGATCATCACTCTCTGTGGTAACACTCTGGGGCGGTGTCTCGTTGAGGCAGACCGTCTTGCGGTAAAAAAATGTTCACTGTCGTTTCTAGCTGCCCATGCATAATCAGTGTGGGCACCTCTGCTGTCCAATATTTGTTAGTCATATATGATGATGACAACAGCAATGAAACACTCATTGCTATCGGTATGGTTATCAAGCATATAGTTGTTTGTGCAGTAGTTTTTAATTACAGTACAACGCCTCTAATCATTAATATTTCTTGACATTCACTAAATGACCAAAAGCAATATTCGCAGTTCATTTCCTCACTTCATGCTGCATAGAAATTGAAGAATCGACGTTCAACTACATGTGGTCCATGCAGGGTTTCAGCCAAGCATGGCACAGGCTGAGAGAGAAACGTCGCGAATGTTCCGTGCCCTTGAACGCCTTTCTTACCTACGTTACTCTTCCATGGCATTCCATCATAGAAGGTAAGATCGTCAAACGTTCGAATTGCCCAGAAATATATTTAACTTGTTAAGTTTTTTTAGACTTGTTGGATCACCCCCATCAACCGATACTATCGTTCGATGAAGAATCCACTTTAATTACGCCTGACTAAACATGGCTCGATTTATTGTGCAGTATTTAAACTGTGATGTCATTGATATTTTCATATATTCCTTAAATTTGCATATGATGTTCAGAGCGTATTTTAGGACTAACTGGAAAGTTCCTACAAATGTGCTCTATATTACATAAAAATACTGATCTCTTCGATCAGGGTTCGAGCTCCGGATGGGAGTAGACTTTAGAATCACGATCGAAGCACAGGTTTGTTTGTACTTTATTGATCTCTGTAATTCACAAAATCAATGTAGGTCCATCTATGAAGTTATGTTGAACTTTATACCAATTAAATTTTTGAAATATATTTTTATAGTTAGAGATATGTAAATCTACATGTTAGGTAACTTAACAATTGAATAGCAACAAACTACCTGTTAATTTCAAGCTTTCAAGCGCAATTATGTTAAACACAAATTCTTACTGTCTCGGCTGTGTGTGGAAGAGCTGCATCTGGAACGTCATTGCTAACGAGTGTCGCCACCATAAAATATAACAACTCCTTGAGATAGATGGACCTTTACAAGTGACAGCTAATTCTGTTTAAAGTGATTGAGAAACAGCTCGGGGCAAGTTATCGGCAAGGATTTGCCATCCGCCCCTGTGTGCTTAATTTATACTTAAACTTCAGCAAAGATTCAAACAATTTAGCAAATGAGTATGGCCTGTTGCAATGCATTGTGCACAGAAACGGTTTGTATTTACACAAGATAAAAGTATAGCTAGGCTAGCTTTTCGCAGTTATTGTTCAATAAGTAGCAGGTGCACTGAAGGAAACAGAAGCGAGCTCGTGAATGAAAATCAAGACGTGATATGACCCCGTGGCAGATGGGGAGTAGTTCATTTTACAAGGGTAAAATTGATTTATAAAATTTGTTAGTTTTTCGGCATTTTTCGTGATGCCAAGCATAGAATCAGAAGAATAGTTCGCTTCAAATTTACTGCTAAGAAAAAATGGCTAGATGCAACTTATAAAGATTGGTCACCAGAAGCCGTTATATCGAATCGTTTAACTCGTGTGACGAAGGAAACTGCGTGGTGACAAACGGAGTTTATGAGTCAGTCTTTTTCATTCTGATCGGCTGAAGCATTGTCACAGAGGGCGTCGCATGAATAATCTTTTAACGATTTTCATTAAAGTTGTACAGAATATATTCTTTACATTCTGAAAATTTTCGATGTCCTTATTGTAACGTCTGACGAAAATTCTTACTGTAACACTCAGAATTAGATCAGCTGCAATTCAGCTACAGCGTAAACATGTTAGGAAGCAAATCTAAGATTCTCAGGTAATATAATTAATGGCATTTTTATATGGAAATACTTTTATTTACAATACAGGCACAATGCAATGAGCACTTATGCACTTCCAAATCCTATATATACGTCAATGAACAAATTTCTGGACTGACAATCAATCATTAAAGCTCTTGCGCTTCAGTGCTGTGCAGACGCGTTTTTGTGGATGTAATTCCACTAACTATTTAATTTTCTCTAAGCAATAAATGAAGATCATATGCGTCTCCAGAGTGGGGACCGCTTTGGACCAATAGAACTTATAAGCTATAAAAGCTTGGAAAATAGCACTGTTGCAACAGTGCTTTTCAGCAAATATTCACGGAAAAGAACTTCAAACTTAGCAAAAAACGATATCCAAACCTCGAGATATGTGAAATCAGAAAACAATCTTTTAACGCCGCTGCAGCCTTAAAAAACCATGAGAAATAAAAGCAGCACGGCTAAAATTCTGTATCATTAATTTCAATATAACTCC